CCTGTGTCTAAGTCTCATTGACCATGTGCTTTCTACTCCTGCAGATGACCTGTGTTCAGTTCCCAGCACCCACATAGTCACCATGGGTCCTAGTTATACAGGACCTAGAAAAAATAAAAACTTTAAGACTGCTACATGCATGTATTCTGCTTTGGAAATATTTCTTCTATGTAATTTCATTACTGTATTCCTGTGTTTTTTCATAGTTTCTTATAATTAGTATCTTGTATGTTAAAGGAAAATATAGTTGATAAATATAATTGATAAATTTTTTTCAATTGATAACTGAAATATAATTTGACAATTTGAAAAGGTAAATGACATTTTAAATTTTATTTTCATGAATGACATTTTCTAAAATATTATATAACTATTCTTTTGGAATATTTAAGGACTTTGGTGCAGTAGTATTTTTGGCAATTTAGTTTATTTGAACAATTTATTCACCAGCACCTGTGTGGAAAGCACAAGTAGAGGAACGAGAGCCGTAAGAAAGTGGCCAAATGACACTTGCAATCATTTTGACTACCTTATGATTCTGAAAGACTTACAATGTACAAATCAGTGGTCTGTAAGTAAATATAGCCAAATCAGCTTCCTAGCTTGGCAGATAAAGCTTTATGGGGCCAAAACCACGCACATGGTTCACACCACCATATTTTATTTTATTTTATTTATTATTTTTATTTTATGTGTATGTGCGTATTGCCTGCATGTAGGTAAGTGCACCCGTGCCGTGCAATGCCCCTGGAGGACAGAAGAGGCTGTTGGATCCCCTGGAACTGGAGGTACGGACAATTGTTAGCTGCCATGTGGGTGCTGGGATTCTAATTCGGGTCTTTTGCAAGAAAAATCAGTGTTCTTAACCGCTGAGCCATCTCTCCAGCCCCACACCATCATATTTTTAAAGATAACATCTTAAAAAACAATGTGTATGTTTGCCTACATGCGCAAAATGCGTGCTATGCTATGGAAGCCAGAAGAGGGCATCAGGTCCCCCGGAACTGGAGTCACAGATGGTTGTGAGCTCCCATGTGGGTCTGAATTCAGGTCATCTGCAAAAGCAATAATCATTTTAAAATACTGAGTCAACTCTCCAGTCCCTACCATCATATTTCTAATATATCCCAGGAAATTTTACCAATGAAAGTGTTAAACTGCAAGTATATATTCAATTTGGAGATTAATGTTAGCTTATTATAGTTTTTTTTTCTACCACTTATTTTCTAGATCTTTAATTCCAACCTTGCATTTGTCACTACTGAATGCAAGCTCTTAATATCATTTCACTTCAAGGTCATTTTGAATTATAATCTCTGAGGTGTTAGCTAACCAATGTGTCACCATTTTCAAATTCATTTAGCGAATCTTATATTTCATCACCAAAGTAAATAATGGACTGAATTAATGCCATTTATAAAGCAATAGTGGCATTTTAAGGCAGAAAATGGCTGACCAGATCCCATTGCCCTAAAAGCAGGAGTTTAATGATGAATTCAAAGATTATTAATCATCCTAACTAATTCCACTGAAGTTTTGAAAACAAGGACGTGTTTCACCAAGTCTCCATTTCCTATTTCAACAACCATAAAAGAAGGCACAGAAAACAATGACACATTCACATACAATGACATATGACATGACACATTCATATCCATAGATATGGATAACTCTCCCTGTTGACCTGTGTGAGCATGAAACATAAATGAGAAGCACACCTCTGTCATTTTGGGGATTGTGTCTTTTCCTCCTGTTGTGCTCAATAAAATTGTCATATCATTTTTTCTAGTAGACTTTGTTAAAGCTAGAAGCCATTCTTCTTCTCTGTGTATTTTTTTCTATATGCACCCTTCATGGACTTTTAATCACATAATGTCCATTTAAATATTTTTTCACAAGAGTGAATTAACAATATGTTGGACAGGGCAGCAGTTAAAGGCACTGGCTGCTCTTCCAAGAGGACCCAAGTTCATTTTCTAGCACCTACATGGTGGCTAACAACCATCCCTAACGCCAGTTCCAGATGATCTGGCGCCCTCTTCTGGTCTCTCTGGTCATTGCACAAAATGCTCATACATGAAATAAAAATAAAATAATTAAAAAGTATGTTGGTCAACTAATAACTGACTATAATACTTAGGGTCTCTTTCTTATGCTTTTCCATCATTTCTTTGTGTGAATCAATGATAAATATAACTCCTGAATACTGAGCTTTCTGAGCATCTTCTAGATGCTTTTTGATTGAGTTGACCCTCCTCAGCTCTTAGCTAAAAGGGCATTGTCATGATATAGCTAGTGAACATGTACTTTTCTCTGGTATTTAGCTTATTTGACTCATCCCCAGTCTCCTGGGATTAATCATGGTAAGATCAATCTTTGGCTAGTAAAAAAATGCTTGAACTATACATAGAGCTACAGCATGAACAACATCTGTCTAGCATTATTCCTATATTAATGTAGATCTTCAGTTAGATATTCTTGTTTTGTGAACAATTCATGGAGATGCTACAGTCTCACATGCCATGATACAAATGTACATAGTATTTCCTTGAACTCAATAAACTCCATAGTAAGTATATCCCTAACTTGTTTATGATTGTCTTCCTAGAACCTTGTTGAATGTTTGGACACAGAAGCATCAGTACTGTATGTGTAATCATTGGCATGAAATCTCATTAGGTCCTTCAACTAAGTGAGAGTCATAAGTGTTAAACAGTTTGCCCAAATTCACACATCCAAGAATTAGAACCGGATTGCAAAGCATCTTCTGCGTCTAAATCATCTGTAATTCCTGGAACAATGTCACATACCCAGGGTGCAGTGGAAATAGCAAGCATTCCAGTGTCTGATGGACTGAGGTTTGAATTGGAGTTCAACTACTCATTAGATATATATCATTGGGAATTTCTAAGAGCTAGCCCCTGTTGTTTTCTTTAAACCGCAATGGTATTTTCGACCCTTCAAGTAAGCCCTGTATTTTATTTGCTCTCCCATATGAGCAATTTCGTGGCACAGTGTAATTACTAAGTTGTAAGTACTCTCTCACTGGGGTCCTCTATGGTTAGGTTGAATTCATGCTGCTTTAGTGACCTAGCCTTTCCCAAAACATTTCTTGAGCAGTTCAAAATGGCTTTAGCACAGTGTTATATTCCTCCTTTGAAATAAGCTGCTTTGAGATCCAAATTTCATTTTGACCTTCCAATTCAATAATTATAGCCTCTAATATTTTGTGCTTAAAACCTAAATGATTGGTTATTTAGAATTGTAAGAACAAATTTAGAGGTCAGCCTAAGGCATTTAAAGGTTTAATCTACCCTGGAAAAAATGCATTCTTCATTTTGCTATAACATGCTAATAAAGTTCCTGCATAAACAGAACTTGCTTCAGCAAGAATTATGAGGACATAAATGGTACAAGATCATACATGGACTGTATTAATAAAAGAAATTTACCTAGCGCAGCACCGAATTTTAAAGATTAGTGGAAACCCAATAAATAGAGCACACTAATATTCCTTTCAGTGGAGGAATCGAGATCAGTCTTAACTTGATACAATGGAGATGTGTGTCTCATGAACTGAAAAAATGTGTGCAATACCTTCAAAGTTATATTTTATCATATTTGACAATCCCAAATCATGTTAAATAAAAATGCAATTTTTATCTCATTTTATGCTTTTTGGAGAGAGTTAAATGTAATCATTTTAGCAAAACATTATAACTTCATAAAAATATTTTTGATCAATTTCTATATTGTGCTTAAACTCTTTGGATATCTGATTTTTAAAACTTAAATCTGAACATGGAAAACAGTCATTTTATTATCCTCTGTCTCTTAAAATTGATTCTGTTTATGAAAATGTCATTGGAGGTAAATTCTAGATGATCTGAAATATGGAATCTACCATAAACTGATCCAGAGATGGTGGGCCAAGGACTTCATCTTTCTAAGCTCATTTTATTATTGTGAAAAGGAAATAATACACACTTCACAGCATTCCTGTGGAGATAAGAAGAGTGATTGTCTTCACCCAATGTGAAGTGCTATTCAAAGTTTAGTTCTTCTTCCTGGCAGTGAAATTGCAGAAATTCTTTGAGATTGATTTGTGTTGGTGCTAACTTAGGTGGTGTGTCAATAGCATTCATTCCATCTCCTTTCCCAAGCACAGAACTAAGCTATTTTTAATAAGGTCATCAGGACTCAAGCAGGAGTCAAACAATGGACAAAATATGAACAAGTGATTCTTTATAAGATTATTCACATTTACTAGGCAGCCTTCATCTCCTCCTGAAATATAGGAAAATTTCACATGTCTACTTCATCTGAAGTCTTCGGTGGAATAGGTTGCAGTGTAAAAGAATTATTAATTTATTAGATGGCAGATAAATGTACAGGGAAAGAATCAGGTATAAAAAAGTGCGTGTATAGCATGTTTTTATATTTTTAACTAGGGTTACACCTTCCATCTATAGAGCTCACTTAAAGATGTATTTTCTTCTTAAATCCGTGAAACAGTTTAATATTTTTTGCATGTAGTCATGCAAACTCACAAATCTTAAATTTCTTTTCTGATCCAATCAAATAACATGTTAATACATGGGTTGAGGCGGATTATTACTGTCATAGATGTCATTATCTGTCATTTCACCCACCCAAAACGCAGTAGCAATTAATTACTGTGTTGTAAAGAGACTACACATAAAATGATCATATTGAATCAACTGAAGGCCTGAAAAAGTTAAATAACCATTGGTTACTTTGCTCAGATAAGGCCTTTGAGCCTTGTTCGATGGAAATTTATTCGCATTCTCTATCACACGTTTTACTTCCTTGAAAGTAATCTCGAAACTAATCATCCTGCTTTTAAAATCATGAAAGACAAATTATGATATCCTGTACTTCCCCCCGCTTCAGATAATATACGGTTGGTCACAGAACATAATATAATACTGGCTGTTGACTCAGTTACACTAAAAGGGTCGATTTTGCAGACTGCCAGGATAAAGATGATTTTAATTAAATTGCACAAATCCCTTTGTATTACAACCAAACCCTCCGCAGGCCAACTGACTCTCAGCCGTTCTGGCATGTATAGAGTTAACCAGGTTACCGAGGTTCCTAGTTAAGTTCTTTCACCAGGAATGCAATTCATGTTTACCTATATAAGGAAACCTGTTAGGCTGACCTGAGTTTGGCGGATTTTTTGCGCTGAGAGGCATGTGAGCACACACCCTGGAGAGGGGGAGCGATTCCCAGCTGGACAGAGCAAGCTTCCTGAACGCCTCAGCCATTCAGCTGATCCGAGGCAAAGAGCAGAGCCGGCACTTGCCCCAGCAGGCTGCTTGGAGGACCCACAGGTTTACCTTTTCCAGCTCCCAGTTGAGGAACAAACCCCGGTCCAGGGAAAAATGGGGAAGCCGGTGAGTCTTACCGCTCGCTCTGTCTGCTTGCTTCTGCTAAGGGGCATACCTCACTGCTCCCACCCAGGAAGCAGAGGGAGAGGCGTTACTCAGCCTCTAACCCCAGAGCTCCTTCCTGAACAAACACAATGCCTCGCCTGTACCTCCAGCCAACTTTCTCAGCGAGTTTTGCACATCAAAAGCCCACTGAGGCAATCATTCTAGCACCTTCGACATTCCAGAGGGTGTTTTAACTGGGCAAGAGTTTCCAGACCATCGCGATGAGCAAACTTTCTCGTCTTTCTTGCACAATGTGTATGAGTTTGGGGTTGCTTTGAGAGGAATGCTGTGTCCCCATGGAAGTAATAGTAAATCTACGAGGGGTTCTTAAATGTACAGGCAGGGCGATAGTCTACAGAAAAGGAATTTGTCACTAAAGAAAGGCAGCGTGAAGGTATCGCTTTTTATTCCCGAGGAGCAAAATCCTTCCATCCTGTACATGCAGTAAAAGACACCTTCTGAGACACTGAGGAGAGAAAGAAAGCGAGCTGGCTTCTTTGTTCTAGGCAACAAATAGAAAGTTCCCTCTTGTGTTTGACAACTAGCGTGTGCCTATTTATGTATACGGTGAGAATGATGAACAAGGTTTTCTGTCAAGGGTACTGCGGTCATTTGAGTTAAAATTTGGCTATGTTCTACACACGTACAAAACTCTCAATCTGAATGCTATTAAATACGAAAATGTGAAAGCGTTTAAGCAGAGTAACTGGGAAATTTTAGTTATATTTGGGAACAGTCAATCATAAAAGACAACTCTGAAAGGAATTCAAAAAAAACCTGTTCCCACCCAATTGTGAGGCATAGGCAAAACATTTGAAAAGAAAAGAAAGTGAGTTTTCTTATATTTGTCAAATATGATTTGAAATAAGGTGCAAATTTGTATCTTTATTTTGTAAGGGAATATGCTTTTCTGGACTGAGTTACCTTGGATAATTGTGTTGAATGATGAGATTGCTGATCATTCAAAGGAATATTGTCCTTTTCTGCCACTCACAAGACTTGAGCCTAAGAATTTGGGGAGTGAGTTTTTAGTAATGACTGCAACAAGTGGCAAAGAAGATCTAATAGCAAATTCGTGGTAATGATAAGTTAGTTTCATAAATTAATGTGAAGGAAAGCAATCGGTGCAAACAGATCTAGAAGAATGAGTACTTTGCTGTTGTTAATTGCAAGACATAGTGAGGTTATTGTCTTAACACAGGCTGGCAGCTGGCTATTCAGAAAAACAAAGCTACAGCCAATTTTACCTAGGGTCCTTGACTTTAAACAGCACAAGCGTGCTGAATACAGTGCTTTAAATGTAGCCAACTTCCTTACATGAGAAAGAAAAGGAAAAACAGGATGCATCCTAGAGGAGACATTTTATTCAGTGAAACTCCTAATTGCACAACAGCAGAGGGAACAAGGTGAATGTTTAAAGCATTTTATCTCCATGGCGCTGCTAGGTAAAGTGGGAGTCTTAATAATGTGCTGCAATCGATGAGCGTGAGTAACCCAGGCAACACGAAACACTACTTTAAAATATATGGTTAATAACAGATGGTTTAATACCAGGTTGTCACACCATGCTTTCGATAAGATGGCCCCAAGCCAAATCAACCAGCATGTCTGTCATTTTTGCTGCAACTTGATATCTGTGTAGTTATTATACACTAATTACATTAATGGTCAAAGGAATATATAACCACAAAGACAGAGAAGTCTCCTGGGGCATACAGGGTAGTGAATCTTCATAGAGATTTGGGGACTCTCATTTAGAAATTCTCCTTGTCCAAAACATGAGTTACTACAGATGATTGAAAGTCTGAGCTCTAGCATCTACTCAGCCCAGGCTCCACAGAAACTCATCTGGGAGGTAACAGTATTGATTATGGCATGTACAACACTTTGACATCATCAACATTCCAGGTGAATTCCTTCTTGAAAATTAAGTTCACTTTAGTGTCCAGATTATCCAGTAAAAAGACAGTTGAGATATCATATTGTTACATTAGCCCTTTTTAAGTCACTGGTAGTAGGTAGTTTCTTGTGTGAAGGGTACAACTATTTAACAGCCTCCTAAGACCTGTGAGATATTAGTAGCTTTCCTGGTTTTCAAAAAGTAGACTGAAAAATCATGATAGGGAGAGATAAGCCTTGTGTAGCTTTGACATGGTCATATGTGTTGTGACTTTCTAAAAGAAATGAGGTGTGTACCATGTTAGCTGCAAACTAACTATTGGCTCATAGTTTGGAGAATTTGGGGAAAGATGTGATTATTCTGAGAAACGTTGTTTAAGAAAAAACTGCCCAGTGGATGGGCAGACAGGCACTGCAGATAATGAGCAGGTTGCAGGCATTCCCACTAGTCAATTATTTCTCTTCACACTTGACGTCCTGGCTATCAGGTTAGGCTTGGATAAAACAGATCTTTTGAAGATTATCTCAGGACCCCAATTTTTCTAACACATTGCACAGATTCAATAAATTTCTTTATTTCCTATGATGACTAAAGGAAAGGAAACTCCTGAAACAATGCAGGCCCACAATACTATTAAGCACATCAAAACACAACAAATTTTTAAACTTGGGCCTTAGAACTTAATGAAATCCTAATTTTTATTATCTTATTATCTTTCCTGAGATCATTGGCATCTTCAAGCTGTCTGTATGTCATCCAATTTGTCTTCTTCATTCCAAACAGATGTTCTATAGTGTGTGTGTGTGTGTGTGTGTGTGTGTGTGTGTGTGTTGTTCCATCCTTAAAAATCTTCTAAAGAGCTAATGGCAGTTTTGCTTCATGAGATCCTTTCTAACATTTTGCTGTTGGTTCTACTTCACTTTTTCAAGTTGTTGTTTAGTCAGATTCTTCTGCCATCAATGTGCCTTAGTCCCAGGGCAACAGACATAAACAAAATCAGGCTTTAAATAGTTATTACTTAAATTTAAGTTCCTTACTTGGATGCTGTACCAGATTTGCACTGAGCATTGCTAACCTTGGTGAACTTTTTATGGCTTCCTCTACCTACCATTTGACATCAATTGCCTTTAGAAAAATATTTTGCGTTATTAATTCCTGTGGCATTCATTCAGCAAATATTTATCAAGTACCTTTTGAAGTCCTAGGCCACGTATGCTGAAGGAAAAGCAGGTATATAAAAGACAGGTGAACTTGAAACAAGTCTTCATTCAGTAGATAACATTCCTTTATTATAAAGAGAAATCTCATGATCTGAATGGTGTGCACCATATGAACTATAGTTTGGTTTGCTGTTGATTCATTTGATTATCTACTTATTTTGCTGATAATCCTTTAAGTCAGAGCTTCCCAACTCAAGGGTACAAAACACTGTTAGTCACTGGACACATAACTGACATATCAAGATGGTGTCATTAACCACATGATGCCCATGTAAGATGATGCCAAGGACCTTAATGTGCTGACAGAGGATATATACCTATACAGTCTCCCTACAGAGCAACCCTAAATAACAGAGAACTGGATGACATCATTTTACTTTTTGTTTTTGCAGTTTTCAACACCACTGTGTCAGACTGGGAGTTTGATTCTGTGGTAGAGCGTTTCTTTAGCTTGCATGCCACTCTAGATTCTACTCCAAGAATGGAAAATAAAAAGTGACTATTTTCTCTTGGGTTGCCAGGGAAGAGATTCTAGAGCACTAGATGGCTCAAGAGCTTTTTATATCAGCTCATTACCCCTGGAAATTATTCAGGCATAAGTTCTACTAAGAGTTCGTAAGTAGGCAAGAGCAGCTGCCACTATTTCTAACATAACATACATTTAAATGGCAAGGTTTTTTAATGTTAATTTTCATCTTATAGAGAAAATAAAAATAGACTTCAGGACTCTGGGGAGCATAGCCTTCTCAGATATATATGGTACTTAAAGCCGCATCTGCATAAAAATACCTTGACCTGTGTGAGAGAGAGTATGTTCCCACTCTCTTGTGAGTTGCCCTTCACTTGTTTCAACTACAGACAGAAATGAAATTAAGCAGAACCTCCTCAATTTGACAGTTTGAGTTTTAACACGTGACTGAATTGGAATTTTGGTCAGAGCATGAGCCAGGAAAAGTTGCATTATTTATAGGTATTGTTCCTCGACAGAGGCCTTGGTTATTTAAACCAAAATTATTCTCCCCCCTGAGTATCTAATTGCACAGTTATTTATATCTATACTGAAGCACTCATCATGTATTGCCTCAGGGAACAAATGCACTATATAAACTACCAGAGAACAGATAATAAGTTTATTCCAATAGATAGCCATGGCTTAAAGTTAGGATACAAAACAATGGTTTCTCAAATTTCTTCTGAAGCCATAGATGAAGGGTTAGACCATGTAATTTCAAACTTCTTGGGGATTTGATTTCTTCAGTATCACTGGGTACATAAAGATGCACCTCATTAGACAGTTTATAAGTATTAAAATAAGCATGTCTGTGAACACATATGGCATGATGCTAGACATGAGGTTAATCAATAATACTGGTTGGATCTGAAATGAGTGGGCATGTATTAAGCATCTTCAGTTAAACAATTCTAAGACTGAAGAGGCAGACACGCACTGCTGGACTACCCAGTGATTTAAAAGTTTTGTTTCAGTGAAGCACGTGTTTTCTAATGTCTGCACCAAGCTGTCCTTGCTTAAAGTATTACCTATTTATCTTCTCTAAAGTTTTGAGTTTGAGACTCTTTGTAAAGAATACTGTTATAGTGTATGTTATCTCAATATAAGTTTCTGTCTTTGAAGGCTTTCCTTCAAAGCCACATATTTTATAAACAGGGCAAAAAAAAGCTACTTCCTAATTATTAATTTAATGGTTGAATGCTTTCCAACAGCAAGAATAGGAGGTACCATGTTAGGAAATTCAGTGAAAAATAAAACTAGCTTTTTAAGAAGTAGAATGTCTCTGTGGCTGTAGTCCATAGCACTGATTTTTCAGGTATCTCCAGGGTAG